GACTGAGAGTGCCGGTTTCCACATTCGCGCCCATCACCAGAGTGTAGTATGAACATATGCATGATATATATTCATAAATTAAACGGATTCTTTCATTTTTCTGGACGGTATATAATGTGCATTGAATTTAGAAATGTAACGTGAGACGTTAATTATCTTTGACTCACCAACGACAGTGGGTCATTTATTAACAGAATCAAAGTTTAACATATCACAAATTTACATTAATTGGCAAAATATGGAAAATAACAACATGGCTAATTTAGTAAGTTTTACACGGAGTAAACAATACGGCGATTGTTTTCTCACTTCCAACTTTGCTTCAGACATTTCTAAAAATATCTGGAATGATTTCTACTTGATAGAAGAATTTTAAAGATGGAAAGATGAAGTTTAGAGGGAGAAAAAGATGGATGAGAGAGAATGTTTGTGTCGGCATCAGAACGGCACTCTCCGGGTTTTTCCCAGCTTCTTCCCCGGTACACTTAGGTGATAGAAATCTCTTTTACCTGGAGATGTCTCCCTAGTACGAAATTCCATTTAACGCACCCTTTCAGCGTCTCCGTAGGAACAGCTGTGAATCGTCCGAAGTAGTGACGGTACTTGTTCGACACAAATTCACCTCACGAGTGGACTTCACATGAGTGGAGTCCGTCAGAGTTCCACTCAGAGGTGGAAGATATCATAATCCCCAATACTCGGAAGAGCTTTGAATCATGGCTGGACTTCTGTACTCCAACTGGACTCGACTCCAAACTCGACTCCAAACTCGACTGGGTTGAACTAGGAAGTACCAACCTTTAAAGAGCTCTATTTCCGGTTCACTTGGGAGTTTCCTGATTGGTCGTTTCAACCAGACAGGGGTGTGTTTTTGTGACGTAAGAGGTCACTAGGAGTTAGAAAAACAGCAAGAATGTTATGGAACAGATTGAAAATGTTTTTCAGACAGACGAGAGGAATATTTAGACGAGTTGGCGGAAAACAGATGCCAGCTTCTCTATTTACGTCTGAGAGGATTTAAAAACATGACAGCTCGTTCCAACAACTTGTTTGCGTTTGACTCCAACCTTGGACCAACTTACACTGCTCATTCAAAGACAGAAAATCAGAAAATGCATAATCACTCTGTAACAGACCTTAACAGGAATTCTAACTTTGCATGAGGATTAAAAATCATTATTACTGTTTCACAGTTAATTAAAAATAATTAGTTCACTGCAACATCTAAAATGGTTTGAACTAAAAACACTTTGATTATCAAACATTTGTAAAACAGTAATGATAATAGAAAAGAGAGTGTTCTTTCACTTGAACTCTTAAAGAAAGAAAGTCTCAGGATGGGTCAACCTGTATTTCTGGATTCAAATCAATGAAATGACAGCTTCTGTCCCATAAAGTCTCAGGCCTAGTTCACTACAAGAGTGGAGGGGTTTAGTGAGCGAAATTTCCCTCGGTGCCCCCCTGGAGCCAAGCCTGGTGGAGACTCTCGGAGCAAAGATGTCCAGGTTGGACCAGCGTCCTACACCTCAGGGGAAGCATGACCAGACGTTGACGTCGCTCTCCAACCGAGCTCACCAGTGTGCATTCCAGGCGGCTGCAGCAAACAATAACATTGTGCTGTTGGCGTACAGCATCTCAAGAGGCTGGAGGGAACAGACCTGCCTGAGGAAACAAAGAGCCCCCTCTGCAAGGCGTCTGACATCACCCTCAACCTGTGCGCCTCGTCTGCTGTCTGCCTGTCTCGCATCGCAGCCTGAATGACGATGTTCCAGAAGTCCACCTGGTTTTGTCACTCCCCCTCCCTGCCGGAGAAGCTGCAGAAGGACTTGCTGGAGGGTCCCATCACGACGGACGTGCTGTTCGGAGCCAATTTCAAGGCCATGCTCGAGAAATCAAAGAAGTCGGAGGAGGTGTTGGAGACTGTGCGCAATCTGATCAAGCCACACCCCTCCTCTCACCCCCCCCCCCCCCCCCCCCCCCCGCCCACTGGAGAGAGTGCCATGGCTAGAGACATCAGAGACGCGCCACAGGTGCAGCAACATCTTCTCACTCCGCCGCCAGCCCCTCCCGTCAGAGTACAGCCCTCCTCATCCCAACAACCAGTGGTGCAGCGTTTCCCCAGAGACCGCCAACAGGCACCGCCCTGGAACAACCAGCCGCAGGACTCACGGGGGAGAAGATTCAAAAATGACTCCTTGCTGAGGAGGTGTGTGTGCACAATGATGGTTTGAGTTTTGAAAAAAATGTAATCATTTTTCAGAAATTAAAGTGTCTGATTTCAGCCTGACTGTCAGTTTGTATGCTCTCACAGTGGCTTCTCCTCACACATCCTCCGCACAAAGCGAGCCGGTGTCCTACAAACAGATTTTTAAAATCACCGTAGCTCGAGAAAACACACAAAATACGCGCGTGAGTGACACAGCAGCCAAAAGTGAATGTTTTCAGCAGACTGAGTCCAGTGAGAAACTTCGCTCTCAGCCCAAGCTGTGTGCTGCCTCCTCTGACAGCAGTGGTGACAAACGCGTGCCCCCGCGGCAGTGGCAGCCCTCACCTACATGGCACGCAACGCGTATTTACGCACATAAAGAGCTGAGTGACTAGATGTTTTTTTGGGGCAAGCGGGCGCTTCATATGGTGTTCGAATGGACCCAGTGAGGCGGAGACTACATCTTGCTTCACCTTTAACCCACCAGCGACAGCTCTTAAAGGGCGAAGCCTATACGAAATAGAACGTTGGTTACATACTGTAACCCCAGATTCTATGAGTATAGGCGTAGCCCTTTAAGCGTCAGGCCTCACTGGCTCCTAAATGGCTGAAGAAAAAGCTATTTGGGAGCCGATTACCCGCTCTTAAACTTAATTTATACGGACCGGGTGGGGCCCACACAACAGGTGGGCGTGGACAAATTTTTTTCAGTGCGATGCTTTGCATGACGGGATAAACCCACCAGCGACAGCTCTTAAAGGGCTAAGCCTATACTCATAGAATCTGGGGTTACAATATGTAACCAACGTTTCAAAACTACAGGAGAAAATAGTTGAGTCCCAGTTGAAGTGCTTCCTGGAGGATCACGCCATCTTCGAGCTATTCCAATCTGGCTTTAAACCTCTCCACAGCACTGCAACTGCCCTGTTGAAGGTATTTAATGACACCTTCTTATCTACAGATACTGTTGATTCTGTGCTGCTTGTCCTATTGGACCTCACAGTCGCCATTGACACCATCGACTATGAGATCCTCATTGCTAGGTTGGAGCAGTGGGTGGGCATCACAGGGTCAGCCCTCAATTGGTTCAGATCCTACCTCGCTGACAGAGCCTATTGTGTCTCCATCAAGGATTTTAGTTCTGCAGTGACAGAGCTTAAATGGGGGTTTCCGCAGGGGTCCATCCTGGGTCCCCTCCTGGGTCCCCTCCTATTCTCTTTATACCTGCTGCCACTTGGTGCTATATTCCGGAAACACAACATACCCTTTCACTTCTACGCCGATGACTGTACAATTTACTTCCCCCTAAGACACAATGGTACATGCTCTTTTCAACCTCTGCTCGACTGCCTGGCTGACATCAGGGACTGGATGGCTTTACATTTCTTAAGTTTCAATGAAAATAAGTCTGAAGTCATGTTGTTCCCTCTTTTGGCCCTTTTGGCCTCACTGCACTGGCTACCGGTTCACTTTCGAATCCAGTTCAAAATACTCCTGTATGTCTACAAATCGCTGAACAGTCCCGTCCCCGTCCCCCCCCCCCCCTCTGATTTGCTACAACCGTATGTCCCTCCACGTTCCCTGAGGTCATCGGACCAGTTGCTCCTCACAGTTCCAGGAACTCGTCTTAAGCGCAGAGGTGACAGGGCCTTCTCTGTCGCAGGCCCAAGACTTTGGAATGAGTTACCTATGCTTGTCAGACAGGCTCCCTCCCTCTCGGTTTTCAAATCCCGTTTAAAAACCCACTACTATTCAGTAGGTTTCAACACCAGAGGATCTGTGTTTTGAATCTGTATGCTCCACACTGGTTAGTCGTCATATTTATTATCTGCATCGTTTTTACGTCTATATTCTGATTTACTTCATTTTGTATATTACTTTGTGTGTTGCCTGTTGTTCTGTCTGTACAGCACTTTGGTTGGCCTTGTCGCTGTTTTAAGTGCTCTTTAAATAAAATGGTATAGTATGGTATTATTTTATCAACTGAAGTTATTGAAGTTCCATGATTTGGTAGAGTATAATATTTTATCAGTTATGTATAGGGCTCATAATAACATATTACCTTTAAATATCCAATTAGATTTTGTTAAAAGAGAGAATTGTTATAATTTAAGGGGATAGAGATATTTGTGAAACCGAAATTTAGAACTAGTTCGAAGGGACGGTGTACTTCAATCCAAGGAATTAAATTAGGAAATAATCTGGAGAGTGTCCTGATGCATGCTCAATAATCTGGAGTCTGGAGAGTGACGTTAAAAATGCCAGATCAATGAGTATGTTTAAGAGAATGATCAAATTTGATTTGTTAAAAAAATATGAAATACCTTAATGTGTATTTATATGAATTGTTACTTGAGAAGGAGTTGTTTATTTTATTTTTGTTATTTCAAGATTATAATTGTTTGAATATTTTTTTGGGTAAAAAGGGGCAGGTATGTTTTTAACATTTAGGAACTTGTGTGAATCTGTTTATCTGTTGCTGCTGTTACACTTGAATTTCCCATCCGTGGAACAATAAAGGCTGTTTCAATTCTATTTATATTCTATTCTAGATACAAGATTTTTTTTTTCCTTCTTTCTGCTGCCTTTCTTTTTATTTGTGATCATATTTCTTATTGTATATAGAATTGTTTAGTTTAGTTTTTTTTTTAAATAATACAACATTCTTCAATATTTTTAAGCTATCAGTAGTTTAGTTGGTGTAATAAGTTCAAACTTATGTGGTCAGTCATTCAAGGATTGATGTTTTTCTTGTGAACATTCATGGCTGAATCACTGCTCTTTGGTATAATACCTCGTATGCTATGATCTCGCTGCTGGATGTAGAAGAAATTGGTTCCCAGCACACCTCAATCTCAGATGCAGACACAGCATGTGCCCTTACAACTGATGGTGCCTCAGATGGCTCTACAGAGGAGAGGTGAATTATGCATTGCTACAGTTAATAGGTACACCACACATCTTCTTATGTCAGCACAATCTTATTATTTTGCTGTTTGCAGCACATGAACACCCTCACCTTCATCTGCAGAAAGCACTGTAACAACATGGCTGAACAGCCCCTCTCCCATGCTGTTGTAAACACCCACAGTCACTTCATACTGGGACAGGGGTGTGATGCTGTCATTTCTGTAGATATATCTTGATGTGTCTGGGGAAGCGAGCACTGTCTGGATCCAGGTGCTGCTGCCAAGTTGGCGGAAAGCCACAATGTAGCCGAAGTCCTCTCCGCTCTGCTGTTCCTCTGGAACTGGCTGAGATAAGGAAGGAAAATTTACGCCTGTGATCATCATGTCTGTGAGCAGAAACTGAATTAGAAAACTGCAGAGGAATAAAACTGGAGTTTTATGTTCATCAAATGAATGAAAACTTATATCAACACAATTTAGACTACCATTGAATCTAGGCATCATCACCAAAATCCAGATTTACGTGCTCTAACGTGCAGTAAGTCTGTATCTTTGTTAGAATTTATGCCACACAGTGAGTCAGCAAGCTGCAAATCAGAAAGGCTCTGCTTTTAATTAAAAACAGTTCTATCAAAGCAAGGCCTCTGCAGGAACAGTGACTCTGCCCAAGTTCACTTTTATTCAAACAAAGGCTACTAGTCACAAAGAATGTCCAAAAAGAAATAACAACTCACCTCCCACGTAATGATGAGCTCTCCTCGAGCTCCCCCACCGCCACTAACATTAACTGGTGAAACCTTGGGAACTAAACACAAACAATAACTTAAGATCTAGCATTCATTGAAGGAATGCAGGATGACTTCAACATTTAATGCAAAAGTTTTAAACTAAGATAGTATTCTAAAAAAGTTAAATCTGGTCCTCTGGACATTAAAAAAAAACAAAAAAAACCAACAAATTGTTGATTTGCTTTGTTTTTTGGTTTTTTTTTTTTTTGAATGTCCAGAGGACCAGATTTAACTTTTTTTAGATTTTTCTACCTGGATTATTGAGCATGCATCAGGATACTAAGATAGTATTATTTTAAGAAAGGACAGTTTTAGCCATTTTGGAAAATCTTTAAGTCCATCCTTGTCCTTTTCAGGTCACAGGGGTCACTGGTACCCATATCCAGCTATCACTGTGTGAGAAGCAGGGGACACCCTGGACAGGTCTCCAGTCCATCACAGGGACACATAGAGACAAACAAACATTCACTCTCTCATTCGCATCTAGGGACAATTTAGAGTTACAAATCAGACTAACATGCATGTTTTTGGTCTGTTGGAGGAAACTGGAGTACCCGGAGAAAACCCACGCATGGACGGTGGGAATATGTAAACTCCACCCAGAAAGTTCCCCATCCAGGATTTGATCCTGTGACCTTCTCGCTGAGAGGCAACAGCACTACCAACTGAACCACCATGCCACCCCCTTTAAATACAGTTATGCAGAATTTCATCCTGAGTATGCGCTGACACTGACTCTCAGCTACTAACTCATCAAATTTTAGCAAAAAAGTGCCAATGTTTCTCCTGAACAAATCCCCACATTATAGTGGTGGAGGAGTTCCTGTGCCTGAATGATCATAGGAACTGTGCAGTGAGGGGACAATTGCATCTGTAGGGTCTCTCTAAGCAGAGTGGTCAAGGGTGACATGCTAGATGAAGAGTGATTCACAAGAGTCATGTTGATGGAAGTCAACAAAGATCTCAATGTTCTTCAACTGGACGTGGGTTACCAGAGCCCCACCCTGTAGCCAGACCTGGGGGAGGGGCTTGTTGCTGAGTTCTTGGTGACGGGCATCTACACACGAGGCTTGATTGGGCTCAGCCCAAATTAAAATATAGATTCACCTTTCTGTGGGTTCACCACCTACAGGAAGGCTATATGGACCGTTTGCAGTGAAGTGGAAGCTGAGCTGCAAGGTGAAAGTCTGTTTACTGTGGATCTATGTTCCTATCCTCATGCATGGGTACAAAGTCTGGGTAGAGACCAAAATAATAAGATCTCTGATACATGTGGCTGAAATCAGTTTTCTCAATAGGGGAGCTGCCCTTAAAAAAAAGGATAAATAAATTGGTTATCTGTGAGACTTTGAGCATTGCAACTGCTCCTCCACACTTAGTAGAGGAGTGTGTGCACACACACGTAGACATCGGCATAAAAATTGTCACCAGTCCTTACATGTATCACCCACCTTTTCACAACAAGTGATAAATATAATCATCAGGAGCTGGTGATCCTGGTAAAGCACCCATCTTCTAATAAGGTGCTTAGAGCTACTGCCTGGCGCTTTTCTTCTACACTACAGGAGCTAAGCACACAGACGAGGCTTTAGGCTTGTGTTGACAGCATTATTATCCTCAGTTCACTGTGACATAATGAGTTGAGTACCATATGCCAGCCCCATGTGTAAAACACAACAGGAAACTTGCTCCCCTGTGATTCAACCAGCAGGATGGAACTCTAGTTAAGTACCTCAAGGAAACATCATATCCCTGTCTCTTGGCATGCCACATCTTCTCTTACTGTAAAGATTATCCAAAACTAACTGCTCCCTAGCCCACACAACATGTCAGGACCACCTAAAATGTTTTAGCAACCAGTCACTTTCATTTTTACAGTATACTTAAAGCACAATAATAAAAAGTAACAGAACTAAAGTTAGCATTTTTTTAAGGAATGCATAGCTCTGCTGCTTTACAGGCAAGTTTTAAACAAATACCTCACATAATTTGTTAGCACTCTGAGTGTTGCGGTTGACTATCATCTTCATCCACACAAATTTTAACTCAATATCTGCAAAAAAATGACTAAGATAGATACTTTTTTCTCTTTACCTAGGCCAAGTGACTATGGCAGCCATCTTGTATTGGATCTACTCCCAACAGTTTCTCTGTTGTGAATGTTCTTTACATAACTATTTTCTAAAAACTTCATTAAAATTTAGCACCAAAAAAAAATAAAAAAAATTCACAATATATTTAACAGACAAACAGGGTTTGACACAGTGGTGCAGTTTTTAGAGCTGTTTTTTTCTTAATAAGAAGGTTGCGGGACAGAATCCTGGCCTGGGACCTTTCCGAATGGAGTTTGCAGGTTTTCTCCATGCATGTGGGGGCTTTCTATAAATTGTCCCTAGGAGTAAGTGAGAGAGTGAATGGCTGTTTGTCTTGTTTGTCTTTATGTGGCCCTGTGGTAGACTTGCAACCAGTCCAGGGTGTCCCCCGACTCTTACACAGTGACTGCAGGACATGGACACCAGTAACACCTGCCACCTGGAGAGGAAGAAGTGAGTAAAGATAATACATGTCCATCCATCCATTATCTTTTTTTATTTTTTATTATTCAACCTTTATTTATACAAATTTGTATCCATCTTTACCCACTTCTTACTTTTTGGGACGCATGGGTGACTGGTGCTCACATCCAGGAGTCACTGTGTGAGAGGCAGGGGACACCCTGAACAGGTCACAAGTCCATCACAGGGAGATGATAAATGTATGAATGAATAAACAGGGTTGACTCCAGTAGTTAACACTAATGTTTCAAGCAAAGCTCCTGTACGATTGGTAAGGTCAACATATGTGTTGGGAATTACTCCCAGCTAATGTACACACCCATGTACTGAATGCAGGGGCAGCTTTGCTGTAGCTTCACTACTAATTAATTATTCTTTAAGCTAGTTCAAGCACAAAGAATATTAATTATTTAATTACAACGGATTCTTTCTTTTTCGAGTTAAATTATGTGTCATGTGACTGAGATAACTGTGAGGACTGTTTAATCAGTGACATGAGACGCCATTTTATGTTTGACCCATCAGAATAAATGCGGTCATTTATTTAACAGAATCAAAACTTAACATCAAAACATGTACACATTGATTTGCTGATGTGTTTCTGATTAATAAAAACTTGGCACGCTTTACTAACAAGACAATAGAACATTACTGACAAATAGAAAAGTTTAAGGGAAGGACTGGAGAAGTTTAAAAGGAAGATGGATGAAGGAAGATGTGTTTGTTGACCAGAATTAGCACGATTCTTTCAAAGCCAGCTCAAACCCCCGGTCCACTTAGTGCGTGACAACTCGTGACGTCTCTTTACCTTTGCAGATGATGGATCAGCTCCGGTCTAGATGTCCCTATGCACGCTACCTTTACAGCGTCTCCGGTCAGGGTGGCTGGTCATCGTCAGAAGTCGTGTGGTTTACTCCGTTCAACAGGACAAGCTTCCTTTTGAAGTTGTAGGGCGTTACGCCCGGGTGAGTTCACAGCGAGGCGCTGTGACTTCGCTGGGATGGACGGACCCTCTTCTCACGGTCAAATCCATCAGCTATTGATTAAATCTGAAAGTTCCTTAGGAACTCTCAGTAAGACTCAGTCAGAGATTCCACTCAGAAGTAGAAGACTCCATAGTCCCAAGAAAGACTCAGGAAAACTGCAGGAAGACCGCCAGAAGACTCAGGAAGACAGGATAGTTCCAGGAAGTGTTGACTTTTTAAAGAGTACTCACTTCCTGTCACTTGGTACTTCCTGATTGGTTGAAACAACCAGCAGGGGCGGTGTTTCAGTGATATATGAGGGTTATTAGGAGTTAAAAGACAGCAGGAATGTTTAGAAACGGTTAGTACAGACGGAGAAATGTTTATAAGAGGTGAGAGGAAGCAGGTGCCAGTTGCTTCTTATTTACCGTCTGCTAGGTTTAAAAACAAGACACTTCGTTCTAATAACGCGTCTCTATCTGTCTGACTTTTGACCGACATCACTACTCCTCATTCAGACAGAAGATCAAAATGCACAATTACTTTGTAAATGAGTGATTCACTTCAACATTTAGAAATGCTATGAACTAAACACACTTTGATTATCAAGATATTCTAAAATAGTATTGATAATGTAAAAAAGAAGAGTGTTCTATCAATTGATTAATTCAGGATACAATTAAATAGTCTCTTGATGAGATAATTTGTGTTTCTGGATTCAAATCAATGAAATAGCAGTTCCTGTCCCCTGAAGGTCTTCAGAGACAGATTGTTGTCGGAGGCCTAGTTCACTACACCCAATACCTAACCACTAGGAACCAATTGGCTGAGGAACAGCTTCTACCCTGAAGCTGTTTGACTCATGAATCCCTAGTCAGATTATCACTGTGAAAATTACTGTGAAAAAAATCACTGTGAAAAAAAATCACTGTAATGCCACTTGATTGTTGATATGTGCTGTTTATTATCCATGATGCTGGTTTATTTCATGTTGCTGTGTTCATTCATCCTCATCTGCTCACGTGGACTCATGTTCGTGAGGCTGTTGTTTGGCGTGTGGTTTTTTTATTATTGGTACTTAGTGTATTCTTAGTTTAGCGTATTTCTTAGTTCATATTGTGGATCTTACTACAGTTTTCTTTACAATTTGTATTTTTGTCGGATGTAACTGGGACCCTGTGTACAGGTCCTTCTCAAAAAAATAGCATATTGTGATAAAGGTCATTATTTTCCATAATGTAATGATGAAAATGAAACTTTCATATATTTCAGATTCATTGCACACCAACTGAAATATTTCAGGTATTTAATTGTTTTAATACTGATGATTATGGCATACAGCTCATGAAAACCCAAAAACGCATGTCCCAAAAAATTAGCATATTTCATCCCACCAATGAAAGCAAGTGTTTTTAATACAAAAAACGCCAACCTTCAAATAATCATGTTCAGTTATGCACTCAATACTTGGTTGGGAATCCTTTTGCATGAATGACT